AGGTATTCTGTTGGCCCTTGTGTCACTGATGAGCCCGGTCCTACGGCTCCATCTCCACCACACATTTGGCCGGTTTTTCCAGGGGTTGTAATTGGTCCTTGGCCTTGAGATCACCGACATTCCTTTCTCTGGATCCTTTTCTGTACTTCCTCTTGCTGACAGGTGTACGCAAAGAATTAAGTCCCTTCAGCCAGAGGTTCTTCCAAATCAGTTTCTTCTCAATAACCGTCTCCCAGACATTGACATCCATGTTGCATTTCTTGAGGGAAGCCTTCAGGGAGTCTTTAAACTGCTTCTTTTGACCTCCTGTTGTTTGAGTGCCTTCCTTGAGCTGGGTAAAGATGATTTGCTAAACATCCCAAAGCCAGCAATTAGCTGAAAAAGACAGCAAGGGAAGCAGATTCTCTTCTTTCATCACTTACAGCTCATTAGGGCCAAATAAAGTAGGTGCCAGAGATATGATTACATTTGTCACCAGTGACAATGCTTCAAAATTACATGGTTGTTAGGGCTTTGGTAACGTCCAGAGTTTGTTGAAGGCACTATAAAAACATAGGTCTTGTTTACCTTCTCACTAGTTTGAATAGTAGCTTCCTTCCTCCGTCACCTCTGCACCAGTTTACGCATGTACGGAGAGCATGAGACATCGCAAGTGCATTTTGTGGTTTCATGGGTCATTTGATTGTTTACTTCACTTCTGGAATGTTCTGGTTAATCACTAGCCCCAAGTTCTATTCTGCCAGTTGGTAAATTTAAACGTGAGCTCTCAGTTTGTGATTTGCCACAGGAGCTGTGTTAGAGGGTAGCATGGTGAGTTCGCTGCTGATTAATGTGGGTCTGGGGACATGCATTATGCCCAGAATTGTCCTGCCCTGTCACTCATCTCTGCTAAGAGCATTTGAATTTTTTGATGCAGAACAATACTCTTCAAACTTTGCGATTCTTTTCCAAGCCTTTATTCCATTCTCTTTTAGAAACTGGATTCTGTTTTGGTAACCCATGTTGCAAAACAAATTGTCCTATGACCTCAATTTAGAAAGGCAGGAACAGGAGACTCCAAACTGTCCTCAGGCTTGTTCTGCCATTGGATTAGATGCATGTGGACTCAATGCACCTGCCTTTGTTCCATTAACCCTTGACACACTTGCACAAAAAATTTGTTCAGTTTATTTAATTTTAAATGTTCAGTTGATGCTGGTGAGCCACTGTCTTGAACTGCTGCTGCCCATGTGGTGCAGGCATATCCACAGTTGCTGTTAAAGGGAGAATTCCAGGATTTTGGCTGAATAACAGTGACATATTTACAGGTCAGGATGGTATGTCACTTGAAGGGGATACTTCCAGGTATACATGTTCCCAAACATCAGCTGTCCTCATCCTTCTGGAAGGTTTGGAAGTTTGAAGCTGTCAAAGGATCTTTCTAGTGTTATAAGGAGGAGGTTGATCCCCCCACCTCCCTCCAATAACTAAAACTGAAACACCCAGAGAGGAGCCCCTAGTCCTATAATCTGTTAAAATGGGTATGAGAAGGAGTCTAACCCATTTTTCAGCAACTTCCAGTGGTTAAATACAAGAAATCCCTGATGCTCACTTCAACAAGTAACGATTTATGTATCTAACTCTAACAGTGAATAAATTACCTAAACTATTAACAAACCAAATAAATCCCTTCTAACTACGACTATTCCTGAATAAAACCAGATTCTAATAGTATGCTGTTCCAATAAATACAAGTCCCACTTATATAAAATTTTTAAAAATTAGAATTTAATCTCTTGAAATTTTAGCCAGGTTACATGCCCTCAAGAATGTTTTGAGCCTTCTCTGTCAAGTCTTCCATCAGGAATGCCTTCTCTGTGAATTCTTCTGTCAGGAATCTTAGCTAAAAGTGCCGTGATACTGTTGTGAATAGATGGTGCTTTCTCTAAGAGCTGAGAGCTGTTATCTCCAGCAGATGGCAGTGTGTTCTCCTGTCTTTGTTCAACTGTCCCTTTTTTTAATACCCTTGATGACATCACTATTTCTTACAATAGGATTGGTCCTACATTGTCAAAACCATCAGATTTAAATTTGATTGGTTTTTGGTATTTAAGTGCTTGATTCAAATTAATTGGCTAAATTCAAAACTTAGTGTCTTGATAACAAATCAAAACTGCTGCTTGGCCTGCTGACTGTACGGCCTTTTGATACAAATGTTTTAATGCAGGTGCTCTCTGTGCATCTGCAAACCCACAAGCTGCTGCCCACAAACATCCTTTTTGAATCTCTAAGCATAGAAAAAGCATTTCATCTTTCAAAGGGACCACACACTGCTCCCCACACCCCGCTAGCATTTTACAAACACCAAATTCTAACTTACTACCTCCTAATCCACAAGTAACTCTACCCAACTTTGCAACACTAGATAGTGCACATTTCTACCACTGTGCCACAGGATTGGAGGTGCTTAGTTCTTGGTGACATTGAATCTCTTGAATGTTATTAGAACTGCACTCATCCAGGCAAATGGCAGCCATTCCATCACACTCCAGACCTTCTGGACAGTTTAGGAGAGGGTCAGTACTAATGTTTTAGTGTAGATTTGTAGCTCAGGTTGTGGATGTTGTGGTTGGTTGGCTTGCCGAGCTGGTCTGTGGCTCCGCAACAGTACTGAGGGAGTGCTGCGCCGTTGGAGGGTCAGTTTCAAGGAAGCACCACGCTGTCGCAGGGTCAGTACCGAGGGACTGCCGCACTGTCGGAGGATTGAAACTATTGAATTTCTTCCTCCTTTATGTAAAATCACCAATGTCTCTCCCAGGACTAGTAAACAATTAGCAGGTTATGTTTGTTTGATGATTCCTACTGATAAATGTATGTCTTATTGTTATGAAGGTGGGTTACCTGAAATATTAATTTAGATTGTTAACCAGCCGTATTTCCATATCTTTGACCTTTAGAAAGAACACTTTGCAAAGCAAAGGAGGCAGGAAAACTTTGCATGTTCAAAGACTACAAGTTGCTCGACTGGAATTGCAGATACTTTCAGAGACAGGTCATATCATCCCGTTTGTGTTTGTCTGTGTGCGAGTACAGTATCTTTCTTTCCAATCAGAGAGAGAACTTAGCTGGAGCAGCAACCTTTGTCCTGTCTTCTCTTTCTCTGAAATCCCTCTCATCACAAGCTGACTAGAAGCCTCACTAAAAAGTCTCATCCCCAGGGGTGGAGGGTTTCTAGTAGAGAATGTGGCATCTTATCACCACAGAAAAGTGACTTCAGCCGGCCATAACTGATCCAGGGAGACATGCTTGCCCCAAGACCCTGCAGTTGATTGGCTGACTGGGCTGCTATGACAATGTCCTATCTGCAGAGCTCCAAATCAGCCATTTGTCACCCAACCAATAATTCCATGTCTGCAGCCAAATGGGAAGCAGACTCTTAATTGGCTCATGAGATGCAAGTCTAACAGCCTTTGTTCCCATCTTCCCTACTTGTAAAAATAATAGATTTATTAATTTGTTTGTTAATTCATTAACTATTTAGCACCCCCCC